ACAGTCCTTAAACCAGAGACCTCTTTCTCCAATTCCTTAATCCCATCTCCTTTCTGTGAAATCTCAGACCGGAGCTTCTTCGCCTCCGCCGTAGCCTCTTCACCTTCCGTCACCGCCGTGACCAGTTCGTGATTCAGCCGTGCAACTTCCGTCTCGAGCTCAGATGCTCTCGCGGCTATGGCTTCCAAAACCTTCCTCTCCTCATCGGATTTATCAATCTCTCGCTCCATCTCACCCATCTTACGACTCGCCTTAGATTCGGCTCCTCTTAACTCCTCGATCTCCGCCGTCAAGCTCTCGATTTTCCGACTGATCTCACCGTTATCACGCGTCAGCTCCTGATTTCGAGACTCGAGCTCTCCGATCTTCCGATTCAATTCCGTCGAGTTACCGCCATCGTTCTGCTGATCGGAATCGAAGAAACTCTCATCGTCATGACCCGTCGCTTCACCGTTCATGTTCCTCTCCTCCGCCATCTCCGGTAGCTTCGAGGGAAATCGAATCGAAGTGATAAACCCTAAAGATGATGCTCAGTGAAGAAATATGTAATTATGGAAAAAAAGGTGAAGGAAAGTTTCAGACTTTTTCTGATTCCCGTGAAAAAATGGTGAGAGATGAATCAAAAAGGATAAGCATTTTTTTTTTTAATGCGATTCGATGCGATTAGGGTTTAGTGTTCCCAGGCACGAACCAATATTAACCGATCAAGTCCGATCTGTTAGGAATGGACGGCTGAGAATTAGTCGGCTCATGTAAAGCAATGATTCGGAAGAAGGTGAAAGTTTCTTAAAGCACGTGCGCACCACTTTTGACATACTCAAAACTTTTCTCTATTTACTTTGTCAAAATATTTATTAAAAGCGTCTTATTAGAATTAACCAACTAATATATTTAGCATAGTAATTTGCAACCTAAACTATACACATTCCTCAAATTATAATTCTAAAACTACTAAGTTCCTAATTTAATTTTTTAACCTGCATGTTTTACCAAACATGTACCGTTTTTCATGAAATCAAAAAATTTAAGATGTGTTCATAATTCAAATGCGATTTGATTAACAAAAAACTTAAAAATAGTTTATTTGGGCTTCTGAAAGCTTTTACAAAAAAGGCCCATGAATTTTCGTCACAGTAGTATAGAAATTTAAGTGGCCCACGGGCTTAGTCTCTGCTCTCTAAATACGGTCAAACAAGCCGAACCATGTCAAACATTTATCAGTGCACCGACCCGGAATATATCAAACCGCACCCAACTAGAGCTAATTTCATTGAGTAAAATAAAAACAGAACTAAATTGAAGTTTATTTTAATTTAAAGAAGCCTATGTTATCCCTAGCTGAATATCAGTATGAGACTTTGTTATAGCAAATTTATTTTCCATCACGAATCTCCTTCTCCTTTTGTTTGATTATTATTTTTGTATATGATTATTATAACTAGCTAGTAAGCATTGTATATGTTGCATCTATGCGACACATGCATCATACATGTCTGATCGGTGTAGAAACAGCACATATATGATATAATTGGAACAAGTTGTGATGAGTTCCACTGATAAAAGATGGTGTTGTAGATAATATACATTAAATAGTTTACAGAAATTTGGAATGGTAAATTATTAGGCCATTTTATCCATGGTTCTTAAGGGTTGTCTCTTAAATTAAAAATTATTAAAACACATACTCTCTCTTCCTTATACTCA